TGAGATAGAGGAGAACGACGGTCGGGGAGTGGAGGGTGATGTTGAAGCGGTTCTGAGGTCGTCAGTATGTGCATGAAAGACATGGAGGTGCTAAATGGAGTGGTACCTGGACCCGTTCCAGCATGGCTGCTTTGTTAACCTCATGATCTCCTGTGTAGATGGCGCAGATGGCCTTGGGCCAGCGTTTCTGGGTTGCTCTCACGGCTTCCCAGAGGACACGCTCACCACCACCGCCTGCGTTGCTGTAGGAAAGTGGTCAGTAGGAGTTGCAACGAGGGGGTTGCCGAGGGAATTACCAGAACGGATGGAAGAAGCCGATGATGCCATCCCATTCTTCATTGCGGTTGATGCCAGCGGTTCCGGAGCTGGAGCTGGAGGTATCGACCTTCTCCCAGTCCTCCTCATCACCGGAGTTGGTAGCAGAGGCAGCCTTTGTACGAGTAGCGTGTTCTTCATCGTCAGCGCGGACGCGCGAGATGATGTACTCGCGGCGAGAGCGGGTACGCTTCTGGACCAGCCAACCGACACCGCGGAGAACTAGGCGGAGAAGACTCAGGGGCAGCTGGGGGAGCAGCACACAGGTCGCCAGGAGGGCGAGCACGGTGAGGACCGATTTGAGGATGAGCAGCATCATGGCTAACGAGAGACAGCTGCGGACATGGCAGGTGGATGAGGAGCGGAAGAGAAGAAGAATGAAACTGGCCAGCGTGGAGGTTGAAGACGAAGCGAAGAAGCGGGTCGATCTCGAGATCCTTATCGATAGCCCGTATGGTATGGTACATTACATTACACATATGACAGACTGACAGTATGGTCAATCATTGTCTTGTTCCTATCACCACGTGATATCGAACCTCCACGTGATGACATGTTTTCCACCCTCGGCGGCCCTTCAATTCGTTCTGGTCTGATTCGATCAACTCGGCGCGGCATTGGTGAGGCATTGTCTCTTAATCCCATACTTCCATTATTTCATTCTTGTACATATTCTGTTTTTCCAACTCATACGTCCAGCCAACCAGCCAATTGCCCAACATGCGGCCCTTCCGATTGTCGCATCCCGCACGCAAGACGGCGGCTTTCCAGCAGGTCCGGCATTTCCACCCAACCCGTCCAGCACCCTTCATCAACGAAGCCCTCGAACTCTCCTCCGCCTTTCTCCATAATGTCCACGCTATTTCCGGTCTACCATGGGCCGTCTCCATCCCACTGAGTGCTCTGATCGTCCGAACAACCGTTGCTCTGCCGCTACAACTCTACAGCAAGATGCAAGCGAAACGCGAACGGGATGCGATACCACTTCTCCATGCGTGGAACCGATGCTTCAAAGAGAATATGCAGAAATCAGAGGACTACACCCGCGAGGATCGCCTATTGCTCGCCAAAATGGACCCTACAAGGGCCCAAAAGCAACAACTCATGAAGCAATTCCTGGAACGGAAACGAATCGTACACCGTCGCCTGGGCGTTCCCCGGTTCTGGAAGCCACTGAACTTCCTCCAACTACCCATCTGGATCTCCATCATGGAGAGTCTCCGCGCCATGTCCGGCAATGACCGTGGTCTAGTGCCCTGGCTACTATCGCGCCTTGAGCCCGAGTCCGCGGATCCCTCGTCTGCCCTGCATCTGGCGGTCGAGCCCTCACTCGCCAATGAGGGTGCCCTTTGGTTCCCCGATCTTCTGGCCGGAGATCCTACCGGTATCCTGCCCTTGGCACTAACACTATCTATCCTGCTGAATATCCGAATGGGTTGGAAGGCCCAGCCTCTGAAGAACCTGGCCGATCTGCCCAAGGTAGAGATGTACAAGCAGCTTTCCTTGCGGGGAATCCGGATGTTTGTTCAGATGCTCGCGTTGAATGTGGGATTGTCATCATATGTGTCGGAGATGCCTACCGCTTTGATGATCTACTGGCTCACCAGTACGAACGTCGCTACGTTGCAGACCTTACTCCTGGATCGGGTGCTTTTCCCGGTCAAGCCCCTGCCTGTATGGAAGAGGCACTATGTCATGTACAAAACACCAAAAAGCCTGACGCCTCTGGCCAAGAAGTCATGAAGTCAGGCTATGAAAATGATAAGCAGACACATGAGAGTATGTGATACCAGGCTATAGCCGACTGGAACCGATCCAAAGGATACGAAAGACATGTCCGGTGATGTAGGGGCTGTGCTCACTCACGAGTACTGAAATGCGTCGCGCTTTCTTCGATCAAAACTACCCGGGTGCAATCAATTCGTGGACACACGTCCATTATTGAACCCATTGTGCCATGGCCTGACCTGACGGACCAGAGACAGGGTGCTCGAGCACTGAGGGAGCTTGACGATCTCAGCGCAATTATGGCGTGGCGGACATATACCGCTTTGTACTATTACTAGAATCTCGATACCCCAAGAATAGCATCAATTACACTTGCAAAAGCAGGAGTTACACTAATGTAGCGATCTATGTCATGTGTATCTCATTTCATGCTAATTAATGCATACTAAAGCAAGAGTAAGTTCCCCATCAGGCTCCGCGCGCGTAACGCCGGCTGTACTGCCAGTCCATTTAGTCAGGGTGAAAGAAAATCATAAAAGACAGGAAATGCCGTCAACCGTGTATGCATGTATCACGAACGGGCATCAAAGACAAAGGATAAGAAGTGGAAATGGAATCGAGCATGTTTTCTTGCGTCTCTCTTTTCTGTCTCTTTGGCGCCAATCGTAATAATGTCTTATGGTAAATAACTACAGCTTGGCCTTGACGCTCTCCTCGGATGCGCTGGCCTCTTCGTTGATGGTGACGGTGCGGTTGTCAGGGCCCTCGCCGAAGAAGATGACCTCGACAGTTACGTCGTCACTGAGTGAAGTTAGCGGGATCTCAGTGAACGATAAAGTAGGAAATAAGCATACCGGTATCTGCGGGAATAAGGACTGGGGAGAGTCAGCAAGGCGGAGACCATCTCCTTGTCCTTTCCACCCATGGCATTGCGCACAAGGTGAGTCGCAGCGTTTTGATCCTCAACGGTGAAGCGGCTGGCTGCTCCAGCGATGTCGTACTGCTGTTGGCGGATGGGACGACGTTGGCCTTCAGCGTCGGTCGCCTTGGGCCCCTCGACAGGCAGCTCAGACTTGTTGCCAAAGCTAAACCAGCTCTTCAGCCAGGCCTTGTTGGTGCCACTGGCGCCGAGCTGCTGCTGCTGCTCAACCCACTGGCCGACAAGGCCGACAACTTCCTCGTTGCTCAACATCTCCCAGAGACCGTCGGTTGCAAGGACAAGGAAGTCACCGCTGCCGGGCTCCATCTTTGTGGTGGTGACAATCGGCTCGGCAGTCACGTAGGGAGGGGTCTTCAGCAGGGGATGGGGAGTGCGACCAAAGAACTGTCGCTTGATCTTGTCCTGGGTATCCCTGCTCCACTTGTAGAATGCATCTCCGAAAGAGCGACTCGGCTCGAGCTGTCCGAGAATCCGTCCGTTGCGCACAACGTTGGGCTCTTCGGGATGCTCCTCCCGTAGACGCTTCATCTCAGACGGAGTTCCACCAGTCTGGTCCTCAGAGAGAGGCGTTGCGGTCCATTTACCGTTAGCAGCACGACGACCCAGAACAGCTCTGGAGTCACCTGCGCAGGCGACCTTCAAATCCTTGGATTGAGAGTCGTAGAAAGCAAGAAGGGCACAGGATCCGGAAAGAGCAGGCGCAAGCATCTCGGCTGCGACCCGGCGCGAGTTGGACTTGAGCACCTTGTCGACGCTGCTGTGCACGATATCGTCGTCCAAACGAGTGAACCCTTGCTTGATCGCGGCGTCAATGGCAGCGGACGAGGGCGTCAACAGAGAGGGGTCAGCAGCCGCGGCTTTGTAGGTGGTGTTCAATTCACGAGCGACGTAGGAGATGAGAACATTGCGCAACTTGGCAGATGTTGTCCAGCCTCTGTGAAACAATAGGTTAGTATGAGGAAGGAATTTGATCGTATAGAATTCTGTATACGCACGAATGACCATCAAACACCGCCCAGAACATCCAGTCACTCTTGGATTCGCCTTGATTTGCTGCCGCTACGGACGATGGCACCTCGATAATCTTTTCGGCATGATCATCCTCAATTGGAGAATTACTAGGCACCTGCACAATATCGTAGCGGACCACTCCCTTGCCCCGATTCACCAGATATGACTCCTCGTTCTTCCTGAGTTTCTGTGTGGCCTGCTCCGGGGTCAACATTTCGAGAACTCGACGGTCGGAGTCGTCCGTATGCTTGGACAATGGCTGATCTCCAGAGATAGGGGCGGTAAAGAACTGGTCATTATCCACCAGCAGTGCACGTCGAGTGGCCTCCGCAGGGGCTTCAGCTTGTGCGCCAGCGGTTGAATACGAACGGAGTTGCGACGAGGTTGGGTTCAGACCCGCCGATGTCTGGCCGGTGCCCTGATAAGCGTACCAGGCGCCCGAGGCGACGGCGGTCGAAATGACAGCGATCGAGAAGTTCCGAAGATGCATCGACGACTGGAGGGGGGCGGGGAGATAAGAGGGGTGTTTGCCCGTGGAGGAAGCACGTAGACCGAGACTCCGACTGCTGGAGAAGGACACGGCGCACGGTTTCCTACCAGTGACCTTCCATGCTGGCACGCGACGGGCAGTACGAAGGGCTTGAAAAGCCGCACGACGCATTGGGCCGGCGGATAGAGAGTTGTATGTGAGCCGGGAGTGTCTTGGCTACTCTCCGTCTCTGGTTTCGGAGAACAACAAAAGCAAGCAGAAGATAAGCAAGTGAGAAACAGACGAGATGCGATGGAGGCAAGCAACTTCTTTCAACCACGGGATCTCGCCGCCATTGCGTCATGTGATACCGTGTATGTATTGTTTGTGACCTTACATACGGCGGCTTCCGAAAGGGGCTTAAGCAAAACTGACAGAACCCCGCTAAGCCTGTCTCGGCCGTGTCGTCATTCCCCGCGGGACTGCCCGATTCAATCATATTCTTTTGTTCTTTGGCTCTTAGGCTTTCCTTTCAATATCTTTTCCGCGTCGCTGTCTGCGTGTGTGGCCCATTGCGCCTAGTGATATCAGATCACTCTCGACTGCTTCTACAGATTCGAATATATTGTCGACTTCTGAATGTCCTCCCGTGCGCTCCGCAAGCTGCAGAAGCAGCGCGAACAAGAGCTGCAGCTGGCACAACTCGAACAAGAGAATGATGACTCGAGCGATGAAGAGCCAGTGGTCCGGTCGTCGAAGCCGAAGCTCAATGCATTCGACTTGCTGAATTCAGTTGACGACGACGACGAAGATGAGCAGGAGTCCGAGATTGAAGCCGAAATCGAGGAACCTGAGCCGGTGACTCAACCTAAGGAGGAGGTTCCTGCGCCTGCACCTGCATCTAAGCCCGCAGCCCCGGGAAAGAAAAACAAAAAGAACAAGAAGAAGAAGAAGGCAGGGGCTAGATCGGGTGCTGGTGCTGCTTCTCCCGAGGCTACAGGACTGGATGATATCGACAAAGCGCTGAAAGACTTGGCCGTCAACCCTAAACACCCCGCACACTCTGGTGGTTCAGCCGCCGCAGAAGACCGCGATGCTGGATTCCCGAAAACACCGGAAGCACTTCTTGCCATTGATCCTAGATGTCTAAATGCGACGAACGAGATGCGCAAATTATTTGGAAATGTCGTGTTGGAAAACTTCGATCAAGATACTGGATCGGGTCGCAGGAGAGATAGAGGTCGGGAGACGCTTGATTTAGGGCAGGCATTGACAGGTCGGTATAGTCCTGCCAGTAGGGGTCAGAGTCTGGCAGGCGTGACGCAGAGGCGGAATGTTCTCATGCAGGGCAGGGATGAGTGGCCTCGGTCTCCCAGTGGTGGCCTTGGAATGGAGCTGGTCGAAAAGCTCCAAAATGGCTCCACTATGTACAAGATTGTGCACAATTCTTCATATACGGACGTGCAGAGACAGTTCGATATGTGCGTGGAGTCAATGGATCCCCAAAGAATGATCCACCTCCTACAATACAATCCATACCACATCTCTACACTCCTACAGGTGTCTGAAATAGCAAAGCATCAGGGAGATCATGCGGTCTCGGCTGACCTACTCGAGCGCGCACTATTCAATATCGGTCGTTCAGCCCATTCGTCTTTCAGCAACCTCGTTAAGCAAGGCCAGGCAAAACTTGACTTTGTGCATATGGAAAACCGCGAGCTGTGGCTGGTTGGCTGGAGGTACATTGCTAATCTGGGTATGAAGGGTACTTGGCGGACGGCGTATGAGTGGGCGAAACTACTGTTGAGTCTCAATGAGACTGACCCATACTGCATCCGGCTTCTTATCGATCACCTGGCCCTGCGAGGCCGAGAATACGCCCATTTCGTGGATCTGTGCACACAGACACGTCTGAGCAAGGAGTGGGAGGCCCTTCCCAACATCCAGTGCTCGCTCGCGCTGGCTTATCTACGACTTAATAAACCGAAGGAATGCCGCGAGCAGCTGCGTCGAGCAATGTCGCGCTACCCGTGGGTGTTCTGCAAGATGGCGCAAGAGCTCGACATCCAGCCCATGCCCAAGAGGATCTGGGGCAAGATGCCACCCACGGACGCCCATGAACTCTTTACCGAACTCTATATTAGCCGTGCCAAGGACCTCTGGAACACACCCGAAGCGGTTTCTCTGATTGTAGAAGTGGCCGACACGCTTCCTGACGAAGAAGAGCCTGTTGAACCGCCAGAGATCTCTCTGGATATCGCACGCCATGTCGTACTGTCCGATATCCCTCGGGTCACGACGCACCTGCCCAACCGCTTCGTCACTGGACGCCTCTCCGCATCCGATCCCCTTCCCCCATACGAGTCGGAGGCCTATCGTCAGCAGTCCGACCCCACGCCATCCTACTTGTCGCAGGTACCAGATGTAGGGCGGCCACAATGGCTGCGAGACCTGCTTGATCAGCTGAACAACGGAGCTATTCATTTCCCTAGGTTCCAGCGTGATGGAGAGGAAGTACACGAAGATGACGTTCCATCGGAGACCGAAGCTGAGGACACCCGTGCGCCGGCCCACCCCAGCGCCGATCAGCAACCCGTTCTCGAACAGTGGCTGTTGAACGACGGGATGCACACGCTGGAAGCATTTCTCCAGCAGTACGGAGTTGATCGGGGAAATTGGGGTGAAGTGCTTGACTATTCCCCACTGACGGAGTATGTGGATGGCTTGGAATTGGTTCAGCCAGAGTCGGAGCGCGAGCGCTTGCTGCATGGACCAATTCGGGAGGCGATGGGGGACATGGTGGTGTCCATGCTGGAGGACGAGCTCCAGCTACTTCAGTACGACGAGGAAGAAGCTTGATACCCAGGGTGAATAATCGCGTGTAACCTATACAACATTTAGGAAAAGTATTTGCTGCATGGGCATTCAGATGGGCTTAGTAGACCGGTTAGAATATAGATGGTTGTTGATCAAAATTTCTCAATATCACAAGAAAGATATTTATGAAGACAGATAACTTGATCTACTGTAACTTCAATTTATCGATCGTGATGTTGCTGCTATCACGACCCAGTAAAACAAAGTGTATATTTAAAAATACTAGTAGCAGTAGTACTAGTATTGGCCTGCTTCGCAAGGGACCCCTGCACAATACGACGTTACCAACGGCTATGCGGCTTAAATGCATCCTTTCCACTTCTAGAAATACTCACCTACATGTACCCAAAAAGATTCTACCCACATCCATTGGAAGCAACAATAATTATCGTGGGGCAACTTGACAAGCTGATAAGCGATAGGGTGAAGCTGGAAGAATGACACTGCGAACACAGACAGCTTAGTCAAAAGCATTCCTGATCGGCTCCACCCGCAACCATGCGCCAATCTATTCAGTCCCCAAGTGACTCAATTGTCGCCATTTTAATAGCTTCATTCCTTCGTGCTTCCCTCCTACACATTCCAGGAAAATTTCTTCAACCACCGGATTCCTCCGAATCGAGCAGCTGACCCTTCATTTTTCACTAACCGCTCTTATCGCGACCCCATGCGCCCGAACGGCAAGGGATTTTCTCAATAAAACCGCTATCATAGGAGGGTTCCTTATCTCTCTGCCCGTCATTGATTGAGTCGAGCAGTCCGCAAGAGTTTCCCTCCAAACTCTAGCAACAACTCTTGCACCTCACTGCCCCAATACCTCAAACCAAGATGGCAGCTCTCTGGACAGCTACCAATGCCGACTCTGTCCCTCTCACTTCTCGCGAAGCAGCCTCTGGCTTGCTGGGTTCGATATCACTCACCTGCTGGATCTTTCTCCTTGTAAGCCATCTAAACCTCTATTTTCTCCCCATACTACATTAAAACTATATTGACGAGACTACCAGGTCCCCCAACTAATCGAAAACTACCGCAACGGCAACGCCGAAGCTATTTCCCTCCTCTTCCTCTTCGTCTGGTTCCTCGGCGACATCACCAACCTAATCGGAGGCGCCTGGGCAGGTCTCGTGCCCGTGATTGTCGCCATCGCCGTGTACTTCTGCATCGCAGACGGGGTCCTCATCGGACAATGTCTCTACTATAAGGCGCGGAACTCGCGACAGCCGCGCCCCCGCCGCCGCACTTCCTCTTCCGTGTTCGAGCCAAGCACGCCCGATCCGACGACGCCGCTCCTGGGCCGGCGGTTCAGTGATGCGTATGCGCAGACAGGCGAAACTCTAGACAACCCTAGGAACTCGACGCGCCGCGCGGAAAGCAGCAGTGACGATATGCTGGCTAAGATTGTTGAGGAGAATGATGTGGGGCGCAAGGCCTGGGTGAAGAATTTTAGCAGTGTGCTGGGCATCTGCGTTATTGGAATGGCGGGGTGGACGGTTGCGTGGCGGACGGGCGTGTGGAAGCCCGCGCCAGTGGAGGAGGGGCTGGGAGGCGTGGATATGGCGCCTGGGGCAATGGTTCTGGGGTATATTAGTGCGGTTTGTTATCTTGGGTATGTTTGTTTTCTATGATTTATTGGGGAGAGTGATGGTGCTGGTGCTAATTGAAATATAGGGCGCGACTTCCACAGATCTATAAGAACTACTGCGATAAGTCGTGTGAGGGTATGTATATCTCTTTCTGATTGGGGTAATGTGTTTGAGCTAACATATGAGTATAGGACTCTCGCTACTGTTCTTCATCCTCTCTCTTATGGGAAACCTCACCTACGGCGCAGGCGTAAGTCTACCAATTTATCACAATTCTCATGATTCACATAAACCCAGACTAATGAAAACCTTTTTATAGATCATCTGCCACTCCACAGAAAGGAACTATATTGTGACCAATGTCCCATGGCTGATTGGCTCGCTCGGCACCATGGTCGAGGACGTGACCATCTTCGTGCAGTTCCGACTCTACGCGACACGCGACCAGGACACGGCTGCTGTTTAGCGCGTCTGTTGCACATTGATTTTGTGTTGTGTGTTTGTGTGCTGTTTCTAAGGTTGTCTTGGTTCTATGCTGCTGATGGTTTAGCGTGTCTAGCTAGTACTTTATTGTCTGGGGTTGTATTATTGGTTGGTTGGTTGTACTGTATGGGCTGGCGGTGTCTAAAAGTTCTTTATCTCGATCTCGATCTTGCATTGCGGAGTGGGTATTGCTGTTGTTGTTATCGATATGGATATTGATTTGCTGATGTTGATGTACATCGATTGGCGGGATATTTGTTGTATGGGGAGGTTAGTTGGTGCACAGGGCAGGCGGAGTATAGTATATATAGTACTATAGTATACTATAACCATACGAACTACTGGTGTCTACTACGTCTAGATCTACAGAACATATGGAAACAGTGGGAACGAGGTTTTGCTCATGGTCGCATGACAGACATTGCATGAGAGCTGGGGCACCTAAGCTCGAAAGAACACGCCATATAGCAGAGTAGCAACAAGCACACACAACATCAGAGACACAAGAGGAGCCGAAGCCGAATCTCTTCCGCCCCCCCAGGAAAAACCGGAATCGCAACGGCATCGCGGTTTCCCTCCAGAAAGTAGTACTACGTAAGAGACACATTTCTGGTTCTTATTTTCTTCACGACGGAGCCTATCATGCGAGCAGAGCGCCCAGTCCCACCGGATGTCCTTGTCCGTTCATTCTTTCTTTTAATTTTCCCTTTTTGGTCTTCGTGCGGTCGCGTAGTATCAGGTACAAGAAATGCGAGGGGGCGAAAAGGAGGTAGTAAGGAAACGAGATAGAAAAGGAAAAATTAGGAAACCCGAACGGTTGAAGACGCTTAGTCGAAAAGACCGAAGCCCATGTCCTCGTCGGACTCCTCTTTCTCTGTATAGAAGTTAGCCCAAATGTTCCTATTCCTATGATGCCCTGCCATTGCAATCGCCATGACAATGGGTATGTTGTAGTATGTTCCGTACCTTCTTCCTTCTTCTCCTCAGCGGCGGCAGCCTCGGCGGGGGCAGCAGCGCCACCGGCAGCAGCAGCGGGGGCGGCAGGGCCAGCGGAGCCGACGTTGGTCAGGAGCTCCTTGATGTCCTTGCCCTCGAGAGCCTATTGATAAAACCGACGTGTAAGTCCTTGTGTTTGATTCCAGATGGTGGTGGTGCATAGTCGGGTTGGATCGCGAATCGCATGCGATGATGAAACTGAGATGTGTTGCGAAGGTTGGACGGATTAATTTACCTTGGCGAAGATGGAAGTCCAGATGGGCTCAACCTCCTGAACCTTGGCGGCAGACAGGAGAGTCTGGAGCTTGTCGGCCTGTATTGAAGAAATTCCAATATTAGTCCAATTTTGATCCTATAACCTTGAATTTTCCAACCCGGCATTTGTTGCATATTCCGATTCCTTGGTATCTCCTAGTCCCATCTCTTTTCGCGACACTTTCTTATTTTTCCTGCTCTTTCCTAGAACCTTGTTCCCATCCTTGCCTGCCATTCCAATGCCCGGGTTGAAATCAAGGGTCAATACGTACGGTGACCTCGACGCCGTCATCGGCGAGGATGAGGGCGGCGTAGGAGCAAGCGAGCTCGGCAGTAGACATGGTGGTCGACGGGGGGGTTGGACTGGACTGGAGTCTCGAGAGGGATGGGGATAAAAAGAGGAAGAGAAGGACGGGAGACTTTTTTGTAACGGCCTGGTCGAGAAGGGGAGTCGGACGGTGAGTGACTAACGCTTGCCCCGAACGGAAGTTGTGTGTTGAGCACCGCAGAAGCCCTCGCTTAGGGCTGCTCCCGTTTGGGCTTAGTCTTACCACCCCTCGCCCGTGACTTGGCGCTATCCCGCTTCGGGCCAGATAGCTTGGCAATGCCATCATCGCCTGATGGGCTTCACGTTGCTTTCCCGCCCGTGGACTTTACTTCAATGCGGATGCATCTTTTATTAGATCCTGTCTACCTGGCTTGGCTGTTGTGTCGCTGATATAGTATCATATCGAATATCTCTTTAAATTCCGCTTCATCCGCGTCTGCGTCCCCGATTCCATTACTTCGTTAATCTATCTTCTTCCCCTCTCCTCCCCTCCCCTCCCTCCCCTCTCTCTCCAGCAGCATGGACTCCCCCGCTGTCCCCGCCCCGCTGGACCCGAAAGAGCAGCCAATCCTTGAGCGTCTGTTGCGCACTCGCGATGCTCTCATCCTGCTCAAACAGGACAAGTCTTCATATATTAAATCTCGCGATGTTCTTCCTCTCTATGAAGAGGTGGTCGCCGAGGTAGAAAAGCTCAATGCCGCGCGCAAGGAACAGGATCGCCGGCGGGCACATAATCGACGTTAGCACTGAGTGGGCCTGTGTATGGATGATGGCGACTATAGGAATGCTGACTTGTGCGATGTTCTAGTGGACTATGTTCTTGACGATTGCTTCCAACTCATTTCGCTGCTATTCCTGACCGTTGGTCGCAACAATGAAGCTCCTGCTGTGTATGTTCCTTCTGTCTGGTGTCAGGTGAAAATTGAACTATACTAACATGTTCGTCGCTGTAATATAGATACTCTCTTGCGACGACTGTTCAGGTATGCATGAACGTCTCTGCGATACTCTTCCCTACTAACCGTTCAGCGTTTACTCGACCACCTGGAAGAGGCCGGCTTCTACAGTTCCAAAGACCTGATCTCCATCACCAAGACCCTTGCGAACATGAACGATACCCTCGAGCGATGCCGCCAAGCTTACTCCCCTGCCCTTATCACCCTGCTCGAGAGTCGTCTGGAGAAATGTCAGCTGTTGTTGGAGAAATTGCAGAGTGGTCTGGCCAAGCTGGGTCCGGAACTGGCGGCTACACATGAGACGCTCGTGTCTATATTGCGATCGACATCGGCCGTGAACACGCGCTCTAAGGTAGTTTACCCTTGCCGATCGGAAGTGTGCAAGCTGACCATGATAGTTTTCATCATCCGAGGTAACCGCGCTTCGGACCCAACTGAAGAAGATTGAGGAGGGCATGAAGGACGGACAATTCGTTGATGCTGAAGGGGTGCCGCTTTCCGGTGCTCAGGAAGACGTCAAGCTGCTGATGGAGCGGTGTTGGCTCTGGACGGAGATTGTGCTGGAGCGGTATGTATGGATGGCGACATAATAGGATTCTGTGCTGATATGTCGCAGACAAGGAAAGATCGACGAAAGGTTCAAGGAACAGTACGACAAACTGATCGAGATTCGCAACCAGCTGGACCGTCTGGCTGTGACACAGGCATGGTCGCTTCGTGAGACGGACTTGTTTGGCTACCAGCGCAAGCTCGACCGGATTGACGAGGCGCGGGTGAACGGTAACTTCGTAGATGCGGAGGGCAACGCAGCAGACATTCATGCGCAGAGGGTAAGTTGCACCGGCCGCTCTATCTGGTACATGCTAACTCGGGTGTAGACATTACTGTACCTGATCCGGCGTAGTTACGGGTACATTTATGCGCTGCTAATCTCCTCGGAGCCGGTGTCGGAGGCGCTGTTGCCAGTGTACAACCAGCTGCAGACGCTGCGCAAATGCCTACTGGAGGTACAGGAGTCAGGGGGTGTATCGAACTCGCGCGAGCTCTATCCGTACAGCATGAAGGTAGGTGCTGCTTTCGCAGATGAGAGCCGACAGATGCTAACGACAATGCAATAGCTCAACTCGATTGACAACATGCGCGTGGACGGCAAATTCTACGTGGGCACCGACATCCCCGAAGGCCAGGGCAGCGTGAACGCGTTGCTGGCGGAATGCTACGACATTGTATGGGAATTGCGGGCGGCAGTGGACGAAGACGAGCGGACGGCGTAGATGGGAAGGATGTCTTAATATGTACTAATGCGAACGGGAGGATATCTTGCTGGCTTTGGAGGCGTTAGGGAGTTGGACCGTCGTAGTGAATGAATGGTTGATTGATTGATTGAACTATGAACCAAGTTGAAATCATGAAGCGATCCCTGCATGAATCCTACATGACATCACCTCCGCTCCGCCCCGCTGGGCCCCACATCCCACATACTCGCGGGTCTCTCGAGGGAAGCAAGTAATTCCACCTCATCTTCTAGTCGTGTGTATACATCCCAGCTACTTCCGGACTACATCACCCATGATTGGGGCATTTGTAGTCTGCTGACAGGCAGATCCTACATCCAATCTCTTCACACTGTATATAAGCGTCACTCTTGTCCCTCCAATTCCCTCACCATAAAACAATCATCCACACCTCACCTCCCAACTACCCATATACATACATACAAAGTACAGAATACAACACTCAATATCTCAACATGACAGAAACCCTCCGCCCAGCCTTCGCCGACCGACCCCGGCCTCTCCTCTCCTACGGCATCCCCTTCCCCACTGCAGCAGCCCACCACATCACCGACCTCTTCCACGCCTCCAAGATCTACATCCTCTGCTCCGCCTCCCTCGCCCACAACACCGATGCCCTCGACCGTCTCACCCGCGCCCTAGGACCGGACAAGATCGCAGGAACCCGCATCGGCATGCAAAGCCACACGCTCTGGTCCGAAGTACTAGAAGTAGTCTGCGACGCCCAAGCCGCGGAGGCAGATCTCCTGATCACCCTCGGCGGGGGAAGTCTAACAGATGCCGCGAAGGTGGTTGCGCTGGTAATATACCTTCCCTACCCACACCCCCCTCCTCCTACCCTAACACATATACTAATCAAAAGAACTGGCTGGCAAAATATAGGCAATATCCAACAACACCACCACCCCCGACACCCTCCTCACCTTGACCTCCGAACCACCGACCCCAAACCCACCCATCAAACCCCCCTCCATCCCCATCATCTCCATCCCCACCTCCCTCTCCGCAGGCGAATACTCCTCCTTCGCGGGCGCCATCCATGACACTACCCGGCGGAAATACGCCTTCTCAGCACCGATCCGCGGCCCGCAGCTTGTCATCCTTGACCCGGAGCTGACTGCCACCACTCCCGAGCGGATCTGGTTAGGGACGGGCATCCGGGCGGTGGATCACTGCGTCGAGACGTATCTTTCCTCCGGGGTGGGAAGTAAAGATGGGGTGACGGAGGAGACGGATCGATTGGCGTTGCATGCGTTGGGGTTGTTGGTTCCAGGGTTGGTGAGGTGTACAAGATTGAATACTAAGGAGGGGGGGATAGATAGAGAAGAAGATGGTGATGATGATGGAGGGAAGGCAGCGAGGTTGGATTGTGCCTTGGGCAGTGTGGATGCTATGGCTGCTTGTTCGGCCGGGTTGCCTTTGGGGGCGAGTCATGGGATTGGACACCAGGTATGACCGCATTCGTTTTCTTATGTATCTTTTTCTAACAGGGTACATGTATATTTACTAACGACTACGTGATGAATAGCTCGGCCCCCTCGGCTTCCCCCACGGCGAAACAAGCTGTATTCTCCTCCCCGCCGTATGCAAATACAACGTCAAGTACAGCAGCACCAGCACCAGCGATGTGACTGCCCGACAGACTAAACTCCGCGATTTCCTGCTCCGGCAGGAGGGCGTATCCGGGGTGGTGCGCAAACATTATGCAGAAGCAGCAGAAGTTGATCTCGGAGATGTGCTGGACGCAGTGATTAGAGAGTTAGGGCTGCCGCGATCGTTGCAGGCGGTCGGGGTGGGGCGGGATCAGTTCGAAGCGCTGGCGGAACATTGTCTGCATGATCGGTGGTGTCAGGCGAATGTGGTGCCGTTGCAGGAGAAGGGGCAGGTGTTGGAGATTTTAGAGATGGTTGCTTAAGTAGTCTCTCCTTCTTTATTCTCTTTGTTTATATACTTATCCTACAGTATAGGATTGATCGATTGGGAGTGAAGAAGATATATGGTATATGTAGTACTATGTATGTATTCGGCTTATTATGGTTCCCGACTACGTCACGTCTTGTCTTGTCTTCTCTCATGAAAACCGCTATACACCTTTAACAATAAAAGCATAACAATAGAAGAAATATAAAAAATAACTGTCGAAAAAAATAATAAAAATCCCATATCCTTATTGGTGGTTGTTGTTGTTGTCCTTATCACATTGCAATTCTCATTTCAACTCATGGCATATGAACATTTTCCAAACCGAACCCCGTCCCCAACTGGTGTATATCGACTCACTGGAAGTAGCTGCGCACGGCGGCCTGGTTGTCCGGGTTAACACCCGCCAGGATCTGCTCTGCGTTCAGCCCAGTCGCGGCCACCAGCTGCTTCGCCGAGTTGGCCACACGGCCGGCTGTCTGGCCCTGCAGCGTCTCCGCTTCCAGTGCCTGGACAATGTGTCCGAACACCTTATCGGCGCTGGACATCACCACGGGGTTTTGTCTATTGAACGGCAGTTAGTATGGTCACTAATTCTTAATAAGCAAATTGGGGTCTTACTGGTCGATCAGCTGCGCAAGGAAGGAGTAGGCGTACGGAGCAGCCTCCTCGTCGAATGTGATAGGGAGAGTGCCGATCCAGTTGGCCACAATCTCCTGAGCATTCTGCACCTTGCTGGCGTTGTAGTGCAGGATCTTGGCGATACTGGCCGATGCGTTCTCCGTCGCGAACACGTGCTCCTCACTGCGCGCCTGGTTGATCTGCGTCACCTGGAATAGACTGGGGATGCTGGCCGCCACAAAGTCGGCCCACGCGGCACCGCCCTTCTGGGCAGCAACGCCGACACCGTACGCCGCAGCCTGGCGGTTGGCCGCATTAGGGTCCTGCAGGCCGGCTGCCAGGGGCTGCATGATGTGGTCCTTGTAGTTCCACGACTCGGGTCCGCAGAACTCGAGCACATCGTCCATGATGCACAGGGCCCATTGCCGCTGCGTCGGGTCCTGGCTGGTGATGAATGCATCGTAGAAGGCCATCAGCTGCTCCCACGCCGGCAGGAATGTCGTGCCCTGGTTCTTGAAGATGGAGTGGAAAGCCTTGTTCATGTCACTGAGAAGGTTCTGGTCGTCCTCAATCGCGTATTCGTAGTCGAGGTTGTCCTCCTCGCCCTCCTCCGCCTCCGCGCGGTCCTCGAGACGTGCCTTCACGCGGACCTGGTAGTCCTCCAGCGTCGACTTGGCCGACTCAATGAAAGCCTGCATGTGCTGCTGGGTCAGGCAGTTTTGGCCGACCACCTCCACCGACTCGTAGAAGCACTGGTACATCTCCGCCAGTGTGTCGACTGTGGGCTCGGCGCTGAGCACTTCAATGATCTTCTCCGCCACCTTGTTCCAGATGCCGGCAAATCCAGCCGACTGGTCGCCGTGAGCCTTCTTGTACGAGTTCAAGAGCTGGGGGATCAGCTTAGCAGACGACACCCGCACGGGGTCGTGGAAGAAGAATGCAAGGCCGGGGACGGCAATCTTCTCCATAGTCTCCAGAACATACGGCTCGAACGCAGCCTCCAGAATCTGCGCGTAGATCGTGATGAGCTCGATGGCGGTGTTCTTGTCCTCCAGTGCACTGGTCTTGATACCGATGATCTTGCCCTTCAGAGGCACCAGCTCCCAGCCCTCATCCTGCTCGACCTGGTCGATCTGGTCCTCATCGTCGAGAAGCTGAATGTCAGCCTTGGCAGCGGCAACCGTCAACAAAGGCGGCATGACACCAGGTAGGTAAGGGACAAAGTCCTGGCCCAAGACGCGGCACATGCGGCCCCAGCAGTGGAGAAGGTACTGCGATTGCGGGTCGTCGGCGTCGACAATGTTCTGTTGAATGTTGCCCAGAAGCTGCACCAGGTTCAGCGCGTCCTGACCCATCTTCTCCTTGCCGACAGCCAGAGCGATCAGCGTGGCGCACTCCATAGCCTTGGCGCGAAGCAGGCGGTATTCCTTGGATTGCTCCTCCTTCAAGACGTTGAACAGCAAAGGCATCAGGGTATCGTAGTACTGCTCGAAGGCATTCTCAGCCGAGTCGGCGATGGTAGCGATAGTCGAAAGGGCCTGCTCCTGCACGTAGCGCTTGGTGCTGCGCAGCAACAACAGCAGGTGCTGCAGGAGATCGGCAAGGTACGGTTCCAGCACCTTTCTCTCGGCCTCCTCGCAGAAGTTGACCAGAGCCGCGGCCGCGTGCGCCTGGACACGGGGCTCGGTGCTGTTAAGCACGGGGATGATGTTGGTCAGCACCACAGAGTGGTATTTCTCCTGCATGGTACCGGCGAAATCGGTGCTCATCTGGCCCAGAGCGTTGCAGCCGGCATAGCGCACGCGCGGGTGGGGGTCCTGAAGAGCGGGAACAACCAATCGCAACACCTGGTCCAATTCGCCGACCATCAGGTCGCGGCAGCCTTCCGAGATGGCGGAGATGGCCATGAGAGCTGCATGGCGATCGCGCCAAGCAGAAGAGGACATCATGCGAGGAATCCAGGCGAAAGTCGCGGGGAGGATGATCTGGCCGCCAAGCTTGTTGGCCAGACGGTCCATGCACTGTTCACCCGCAACGTGGTTGAGGTCGCTTTCCTCCAAGTCGAGCTGTAATACGTCAGCACAACAATAACCATGCAAGATAATGAAACAGAACGTACATCCTCCGACGCATTCCATTCAGAAGCATCTTCATCATCGACACCAATATCCGTCATCAAGCTCAGGCACTGGGTCACCATCTGCTGAGCGAACTCGGAGTTCTTCTTGCACATCGAGGGCGCATAGTCGGCGAAGGTAGCCATCAATTCGAGAGCGTTCTGGCGGACCTGGTCACTGAGGTCCTTGTCGGCAATCACACTGATACTGAATGTAACCAGGTTGTTGAACATGGTCTTGAACATCTTGGGGCAGATCTCGGCCAACTCGATCAGAGACAAAAAGGCGGAAGAGAGCTCCTCGCTCTCGGACGACTCCTTCAACGGAGGCAGAATGTTGAGCAGATCGGGCATGAGAGAGAAGAACTTGGGCTGGGACTTCTTGGCGATCGAGCGGAAAAACGAAGCGAAGGCCTCCATGGCGGCAATGCGCACCTGTACACACGGCGATCAGCATACGGCTTGGGGCCTCAAGCCCGGGGTACCGCTGTGTTGACATACTGAGACAACGTCATCCTTGAAACCCTTGCTGAACACACCGACAACGGCCTCCTCGTGGGGCTTCTCGATGATACCGGGGGTAGTGTTGAAGATGCGGAAAGCGGCCTCACGCAGGCCGGAGTCAGGGGACTGGCTGGCCTGGAAGAGAACGCCGAGCAGTTCGGGCCATTGGTCGCCTAAGCCACATGTATCAGATTGGAAAGATCCAGCACGTATCAAGGTCCTTCACGGTGCCTACCATTATCAGTGTACTGTCTGGCAATCTCGGCCACGGCGTCGCCGATCTTCTTGCGGGTATCTGTGACGGACTCGCTGGTCAAGCAAGTCACGAGCTTCTGACGGATGATCAACCTCTGCTCGCCGGTGAGGGTCGAAAAGAGCTCCTTGGCCTCGTTCGTAACAGGGTCTTTTCGTGTCTTGGTCGCGATTCTTCTGAAGAGAACGGCGGAGAAAGAACGTGTCTGGGGGAGATGCAACAATGAGCGACCTGAACGCGAACCACCTTTTTGACTCCTTGAACTGCCACTAGTCCGGAGGGATAAAAGTAACGCTTGTTATAATCCGGGGGTGCTGATCTTTGACTCGAATGTCTTGGACCAACGTCCTCTAAGGGCCCACCGAGGGAAAGCCAAGCAGGGCACTTACTAGCACATCCTCCGCACCCTGGATCTGCTCTGCCAGGCCCATCAGCAGGACATCGGGACGGCCTTGAATCCAATCATTGTTCAGCTGTTCCTCCGCCTGGGCACGAATGGTGTTGTCGGGAGTGGACAGCGCGCGCAGGAGCTGAGAGAGCGCCGAGTGGACCTCGGGGGGGAGTAGCGACATTTTGACAGCTCAAGTGTGAACAATCAACCCGAGCTGAAAACCACCAAGATCGCGGGAAATTAGGAGACACGGGGTCCAGCGGTGAACCCAGGTGGTGGAGGGTGGGGGTGGTGGTTGATGTGAAGGGACTGTTTTTGGCCCTTTGGAGGAGAAATTGTTTTGGTGGGGGAAGAAATAAGTTGACCAGTCGAGGGGGAAGAGGGAGGGCGGTATGGGCACCAAGCAACCAGACAGGTCAATCAATGAACGGGCAACCCGGCCAGGTAAAAAAAAAAAAAAATAAAGGGTAGAAAAAAAAAGAGTAGAGTGAAGATCAATCAATACGAATAAGTACCAGCGCGGGTAAAATCCCAGCTCAGCATCGCAGCCGGACAGAAAGCTGCGGGTGAACAGGAGGGGGGAGGGCAGAAAGAAGAGGGCCCGTGAATAGCGCGAGGCTTAGAAGATAGTGAGAAAAAGAGCCTGGATGTTTGATGGTGAAGGAGGGAAGAAAGGTCAAAAGTGACTGCAATAATACTAGACTAAGGCAATAACTAATATTCACGGCTTTCTGCTCGCGACGCCCCAATCAGCTTTTCCCAAAATCCTAAAATTTCCCCCCAAGGCCGCCGCGCTAGTCTCCTTCCGGCAAGCCCTTCAGGCAGCCAGGCAGTCAACCCCTCTTGCAGGATTCGGCAAATCATCCAGGAACGTCCCTTGGCTATACCGGTAACTATTATGTCTATCATGCAAAATATGCTAATTATCTAATCCCTCATGATGTTGGCCCTGACGATGGTCCGGTACTGGTGGGTGGTCTATAAGTACGCTTCCCGAATGGGAGCAGAACATGCTATTGTAACCTTACGCTCTCACGAACTTAACGGTATCCGAAACAGAATAAACAGGCACAATTAGGACTTCGGCCACCACCATATGTAAGGAAGGAGATTGACCAATGCATAAGGGAAACTAGTCACACAAACGAAACGCTCTTGGGGTTACAGATATATGACACGCGAAAGGAGACGTCGAAAAGGAAATAGATACACGGGTACTTGCTTTCTTTCATCACGGACAGGTAGATGCACATCTCTTTACCGGGAAGTGGCCCGGCTCAGAATGAACACTCCCGCAATGACGGCCGCCAGGGTCACAATCGCACCCGGAAGCAGCAGGTCGTTGGGCACTCCGGCGATAAACTGCTCTTCGGGCTGGTGTACGGGGAAGGACTGAGCCCGGGGCTTCGCCACCAGGGACTCTTCCTCGGACCGGTCTTCGGAAATGGGACTCTTCTCCTCGATGGGCCGGGCTGGCACCGGCTGGGGTTCAACGGTAGCAGGAATAGGAGGCTGCGTAGGGTCGTGGACGAAGAGATCGACCTTATCGCGGTGCGATTGACGGGCAAGGCTGACGGCATCTGCCAGATCTTGGTCGGTGGTGATCGACACGGTGTCGCCCTCGTTGTCCAGGTAGCTCAGAGCGTAGCCCGTGTTGCTCAGTTTGCCCTCGTCACAGCTGGGAACGCCACCCACGGCATCCGCCTCAGGGCCCAGCTTGGCCGACACTTGAGCAACCAGCTCAGCAATGCCAGCAGAGGGGAACACGTTAACACGGTGCACACGGCCGCTAGGAGCCTTGAACTTGAACGGGAAGGGGACGTGCTCTCCGTGGTGCGGGTCCACGTGGAATTCAGAGTGCTCGTCGCCGCCATGGTGAGAAGCAGATTCGTTGGGGAGAACGCTGTCTCGGGCGTCATAACTAGCCTTCGGAGACTCAGGGCTGAGTACTGACCGCTGCGCGGGCTGCTGGCTCCCCGAGACCATGGAATCGGACTCGTGATCCATCGACAGCCAAAACTTGTTCCAGGCCGGGCCCTCATCATCATGCGACTGCATGGTGTTGATCTGGCTGCATGTTAGACGATTATTTTCTATACTATCAAACATGCTATCACTGACCTGTTCCAACGTAGCGTACGTAAGCTTCAGCACATCCACCATTCCCACAATCTCACCCGCATCGTTCATGACGGGCAGGTTGAGGTAATGTCCATCTATACATCCCAGTATTAGTATCTTCTTTCGAGCGCAGCAGGGGTAATTGGAGTGACTGACCGTGCATCTTGCGGAGTGCAGCCTGGATACTCATGTCGCTGGGGGCGAAATCGGGGTGAGGGGTCATCACGCGGACGACGCTGCAGGTAGACGGGTCAAGACCGGGAGCAATGACACGCAGCACAATGTCCTTGCTGGTGAAGATACCCGTGATGGAGCCCTGATCCTGTACGAGCAGGGCAGTGGTGTGGTGTTCCCTCATCAGAGCTGCGGCATCCTTGACCGTGGTGCGGACGGAGACAGTGGTTGGGGGCATGCCGTCCAAGACGGTCTCCAGCGTGGGGCCGGACATCTTGTGTCGTAGCGCTTCGACATACTGGATGATCTGCTGGGGCTGACTGGAGCCGAGTTCCGTCTGCACACCCTCCAATGCATCGTAGAGCTTGCGCGACGAACTGTATGCACGTTCCAACTTCTCCATCGCATCGTAGAAGCACTTCGTGATATCGAGAACACCCGAGATATCCTGGTTCTCGTCCATAACCGGCAAGTGTCTGAATCCTTTCCGGACCATGAGGTCAAGAGCGTCGGTGGCACTGGTATCGGTTCTCGCGCACAGAGGGTTCTTGGTCATAATCTCAGACACGGTGATTTCCCGCGCCTTCAGGCCAGTGCCGACCACGCGGAACGCGAGGTCCTTAGCCGTGAAGATACCAGCAATCCGGTCATCATCGTCAGTCACAAGCACGCAGTCTTCTCTCTTCGCGGCCATCAACTGGGCGGCTTCGGCGATGGAGGTGTTCGGCTTGATCTGGAGGGCTTGACTAGGTTTCAATGCGAGGACGGTACCGGGGGGAGCTTTGCGGGAGCGGTTTGCTCGTGCCGGGGCATGTCTCTTCTTGTTGAGGTCGGCCTCCAATTTTCGTCGGATAGCCTAAGTCCATGAGTGGTTAGAAAAGTCAATGGGAGGCATTGAGCAATCAAAATTTCGAAAACCGAGAAACGACTTGCAGGACAAGATTTTTTCCAGGTTCACCTCCTTTTTCTCCGAGGCAGTTGCAAACAATCCAAAGGGGGAAAAGCGTGTCCATACCTCATCGCGCTTGGACTGGTTTTGCCTCTGACGGCTGCTGGCGGCACTCATGGTGGAACTGCCAATGTCGCTGGACGCGGTCTGGGGGGTATGAGTTGTAGAGGAAGTCTCTGGGCGAGGACGTGGAATGTGACTGTCAAAGTCGGGCAGCCTGCCTCTACCGACAGTCTTGTGGCTAATGGTTCCCTTAAAAGTGGGTGTGGATGACATGGCGCCGAACCGGAATGGCGGACCTGTGGTAGGCTGGCAGGTCTGTGTCTCACGAACCGGTCAAGAGAGAGCGGAGAATGCAGCGGAGCGGTGGAATGGAGACACGACCCCCGTGAAGGACGAACGAGGATTGAGAAGTGGTAATGAACCAGAGACAAGTCACGCAAGGAAGACAGATGAAGAGGAAGAGGAAGAAGAGTAAAAAGAGGGAGAGCGAGACACAACGCGATGATCTGGAGGGACGAGAAAGATACGGCAGACAAGCCAACAGCCACCAAGCCAAACCCAGGGGGGGAAAAAGGTAGAAGCAGATCCCAAGTGGATTCGGCTGGCCGAACTATTTGCTGTTAATGACAGTTTCAGGGAGAAAGAGGGATGGCACGGGGACCACTCACAATACTCGACCTGAGTAAACAGAATACCGTATTGGTGTACCGTAACTTTGGGTCGGGATGGGCCATGTGCGCTAGTCCACTTCGGGACACGGCACGTGAACGTCAGTCGGATCACCCAACTTTTTCAACTTTCTCGCCGATTGCCTGAGGCAGGGGCGGTCAGGCCACCGTCCGCCACTCTCCCGATGTCACCCCTCTGCTTCTGCCTCAGGTGTCTACATCCAGCATTAACCGCCTGAGGCCACTCATCCCGTGACCCAGCTCGCTTAAGGGCATAGGGCTACCACACAAACCCGACACAACCTCATCCCGAAGAGACGACTCCGGAGCCTTTACGACAACCAAACCCGACAGCCAAGTACGCGACAACCTCCCTTCCCCTTCTCCCTGACTTACATTCTCTGACCCGTTGCTGCAGAGAAATCCGTCAAGATGGTCAAGAAGAGGGCGAACAAGTAAGACCGAACCCTTTCCTATCCCACCCATCCATGCCACATGCCATATATACATATATACACAATCTACGCACACCTGAATGAAGACGGCCGCACGGAAAAGAAAATTCGCCATACATTTATCGCAAAATGGCCCGGCTACCGTACAGTGTTGTGTGATTTTGGGGAAAATATGAAGAAGATTGAAGAAATGGCGAAATTAAAATCGAAAACATGGAAATCTGCAAATTCAAAGAAAAGGAACCGATAAACTAACCTCTTTTTACAGCGGTCGTAACAAGAACGGCCGCGGCCACGTCAAGCCCGTGCGCTGCTCCAACTGCGCTCGCTGCACTCCCAAGGACAAGGCCATCAAGAGATTCACCATCCGCAACATGGTCGAGTCCGCTGCCATCCGTACGTTCCACGATCTTCCTCCATTGATCTGAGTTGTTCCCGAAACCGTCCGCGCGCGCTGTCTGTTCGTTCCGAAAGAGCTGGGAAGTGGGGGTGTTACATGCATGTGTATGCAATGGATCGAAGCGAAATCAACTCGACCGGAATACGACATGGAGCAACAAAGAGAAGGAACCGATACAAACAGCGCGACGCACGAGTGAACGGAATTCGACACAACCCTAAAAGACAACACCGGACTGACTGGTTCTTTTTTTCCAACTCTACAGGTGATATCTCGGACGCCTCCGTCTTCACCGACTACGCCGTCCCCAAGATGTACCTGAAGCTGCAGTACTGCGTCTCCTGCGCTATCCACGGCAAGATTGTTCGGTACGCCACCCACCCAACCAACGATGATGAAAGCGTCGAGAAACCATCATCGACCTCCAGAACAAAACACAAAGCTAATATTCAATCCTTATAGTGTCCGCTCCCGGGAAGGTCGTCGCAACCGTGCTCCCCCTCCTCGTATCAGGTACAACAAGGATGGCAAGAAGCTGAACCCCCCTCAGGCCGCCAAGGCTATGTAAGGAAGGAAATGACAACTATTTCAAAATAAAAGAAAAATGGAATTAGTTTAGGGGCCCTTAACTGTTGCTTCTTATAATTTTTCTTTATGTTGTCTGAAAAAAACCACACCATAACTTCTTTACTATACTTTATGCGGAATTCCTAAATGGAAATGAACGGGTTTCAGTTTCGGGGTTGAAATGAATTATGCGCGCGGAGTCGTGTCTGAAAGACGAAATTCTATACCAAACTTTTCTAAAACGAAGAACAAATCTCTTTCTATTAAGCTAAGCTTCTTTTATCCGTTGTCTCTTGCTTGCTATCTAGAGATACTAGAGGAAAGAGATGTGTGATTGTATGGATTTGCTCTATATGATCTACTATTGTTAGAGGGGTTGTCCGCGAGGTGTGTACTATCTATCGTACTAGCTCGGTGTGCCCTAGTTGTAGGCCTGATACTACACCTCCATAATTAGATGATAGACGACAGTTCTAGTTCAAATGTTCTTTGTAGTAAATCTATAAAGAATGCGAAGAGGATGGTACTATGAATACTATCTCATCTATCGTTCATAGCCAGCTGTGGGTGATTGTCTACGATGTATATGTCATAGAGTGTAATATATATCGGGTATCATGCTGGCGATCTCTATCAACTAACTAGTGCCACGAATCATATAAGTACCCTATCAAGGGTACAAATAGCCCTTCTCGAAATAATTTCCATACATGTCTACCATCCCGCTTCGGCCCTTTGGCGCTGGGTTTCGGACAATCTTCACTTCCCCCTTCCAGTGTCCTTCTAAGTAATGAGCAATGGGTGAATGAGGCACTGATGCCGTCGCCAACGTATTTATGCTCGACGACGGCGAGATCGTTTGGAATGAGGAGACGGAAGGAGAGAAGCGAGAGGACATGGTGCCGGCAGTACCACGTCTTCTCCGATCCCTCCTCAGCATTTCCTCATACTCTGCCTTTTTACTACGTCGGAATGCTGCCAATTCGGCGACCAGATCAACGTCTGGTACGTCATTCTGCGGCCCCATTTCTCCATCCTTGTCCAAGTGTGGGCTGTGCGAGCGCATGTTCCGAGGTGTAGTCGTGGGGTCGACTGAGTTTGATCTCGAGCGCAAAGGATCTGGATGAAGCATACCTGGTGAAGAGGCCAGATCGGGTTGTAAGGGGTGAACATCGTCATCTTCTGGAATCAACGTCACTTTCTCGTTCAAGGCTGCCATAGGGAAGTATCGCCCTGAATAGAAATCGGGTACTCCGCATTCTTCTTCACCAAAGAAGCTGAAGTCGCCTATTGCTGCTGACCATAGCCTCTCCGAATCGCGATCACCGGTGCTTGACTTTGAAGCTCCTGCCCGGTAGATGGCTGGCATCCATCTAGATAACTTGTTGGACCTAACCGAAGGTGTAATTTCAAGCACCAAGCGACGCAGACCAAACAGAGACCTGGCACGTTCTTGTTCAGCTTTGGCTCGAGCTCTTCCAGGTGCGAGCGAATAATCCGAGCCCGCTTGTAAGGTTGCAAGTATTGCTTCATTTGAGCAAGCGGTTATGAATCGAATAAGCGATTCCAAGATCGGCGAGTTCGGCGGTACGTGAGATGGAACGTCGGTCAAAACCAATGTTTCAATATGAGGGACATGCGAAGGATGCAGGTACGGAAAATAATTTCTTTTGTTATCACGTCGAGGAAGACTTTTCGGCCGCTTAGCAAGCAACTCCTGGATCTTCTGGGCTCGAGAATCTTCGACTGAAGGGGGAGAAGAACATTGCGGGATAGACCCCGCTGCACCCACCGAGATGCTGGAAATGCTAGAGAAGGAGATATCATGGGGCAAGCGATATGAAGCCCTTGCGGCAGAGGTACTGCTCGGACCCTCTTCATCACTGACTTGGTCTGCCCCGATCACCTCGGGAGCGAAGACAGAGCCTCGTCGCAGGTCCGGTAGTGGTTCGTCTTCATAGATGGTTGGCTTTCGACCCCGCTCGGCGGGCTGCGAAGGCCAGTCCGGAGACTGCGGGACTGGTGAACCAGGAAGCTCGAAAATAGGTGCTTCGTTTGATGCTAGTTCATAAATCTCATGGTTCGTACCTATTTCTGCCTCTGTGCGCACTTCATTCTCGTTCCCAGCAGGGAGCTCTGGTAGCAACATGTCCGCCGTTGAGGTCTCCCTTGACGGCGCATCAATTGTACAGACGGCATGATGAGCTCGAAGATAGGTGAGGTTTCCCTTGGCAACCGTCCCCAGGATTGGAATCAATTTCTCAGCACCAGGAAGCTTGTGGGAATCGTCCTGAGGCGAAGCAAGAGAGCTCTGGTTTCTTCCAATAGACTCTATAGTGTCAACGGTTCCCACATCCAGAGCATGAAGGCGAGACGAGAACAAAAGACTTGCGGCCCCTTCCACAGAAATAGGATTCTCGGCGATATAGAGGTGTGTTATGCCTGCATGGGACAACTCCTCAACCCAGGAGCGCCCTGTCAATGGTTGTGTTAAAGCTTTCAGAATTTGTTCATCTAAAAGCGGGGTCCTAAGAAACCTCCTGTCAGACAGCAAGGGTCTCGATTGCGGAGAGTGGGCAAGGGATCCCAGTGACGCTAGTGTCGCTCGTTGTAATCTATCCTCAGCACCAGGGGGTAAGAAGGATGCTTGCAATAATGACCGTATGGACATGTCAGTAAGCAGATTATTGCGTAGGTCCAGAAATCGGACTCTGCGTCCGATGGCGTTGGCCAGGAATTCTGCATCATTGTCCTTTAAACCAATACCTCGAAGCTTAAGGACCTGGAGGTTTTCCAACTGTGATAGCGACGACAGGACTGTGCGATCCCGCGCAGGGGTGGTGTAAGACAAATCGAGATAGATCAATCCAGGGAAGCGTAGTAAGGTCTCCGCAATACCGTGTGATGTCGCATTTGGCTCACTATCCGCTAATAGCAGACGGACATTGTAGGTCTGGGAAGCTGTGTCATTTTCTCCAGATGGACTAGATCTTCTCAAGGCGGTCATAGCATTGTGGTCAAAAAATGGTAGCTTTGAGACCATCAACGACTGGAGGCACGGTAGAGCATCCAGGATCTCCTTTAGCCACTCAGGTCGTGGACCCCCATAAATCTCCGAGAGAGCAGGCGGCAGATGCAACGTATGGGTGAGCATCCGCACCTTGAGACGGGCATATTTTAGTGTCCTTCTGAACCTTGTGAGAGCGACTAGTGTGTCTTGTCAGCGCCAAACAGTCAAATCAAACAGTCGTGGGATCGTTCAGACCTACCATAAACCGCATCGTTATCCGTTCCAAAGTGGGAAGCGGGATCCCCCCACAGAAAGGGCATGAAGATACCATGCCATTTCTGACATACCAAGACCACTGCGCATAGGTCGCTTGACGGGATGTAGTGTGCTATAACCGACCATGCGTCTCTGGTGGTAGCGGTTTGGTAGGATGGTGGCACAGTATCCATTGTCACAGTTGTACGCGATGCGACTTCTCTCCACCCGGGTGATGGGGCCTTTAAGCCTTGTCCTAGATCAGGCTAGCAGGATGCGCAGAAACAGTCTGCAGTACATTTGAGAGAAATGATGGGTTGGATTATTTGCTGGACTGGTTGTCACACGCCGCTAAGCAAATGAAACTAAGAGAATAGCGGCCCCCAAAGAGATGCTGCTGACTTGCAGATGGGCGTCGGGCACTGCCACGGTTCACGATGGGGCGAGGGAAGGCCCGAAGGATCCATAGAGCCAAAGAAACTCCATACTTTAATCTGCCGTCGATAATGACATCCTACTGTGGAATATGGAATATAGTAGCACCCCAACCATAGAGGAGAGAATAAAGCTGAAGAAAAGGAGAGAACAGAAGCAACGATAAGAACAGACACTGTTATCGTATGGATACAGTAATTGTACGGTCCTCTTTCTGACGTCATCCCCCGCACGGTCAGCAAACCATCGCCGACAAATAAAACCACTGATTCACGGCGCTTAAATGATACGTACTGGCCTCTTCTCTCTTCCATTTCTCCTCTCTTCAATTCCCTTTACTCCATAGGCCAAAATGGAGCCATGGCAGCGAAACATTCGCAGGATGCACCAAGTCAGCGAGGTGCTCGACCTTGACCCTCAAAAGTCCGACATGATCGCCGATTTCGTCGCACTCATCCAAGCAATCCGCGAAGGGCTTACGCAAATCGATGATGATTCCTATATACCCGATTCGCAGATCAATATGCTTTTCTTGACAAAGCTCAAGGAATGTCCTGATTGGAGTGACTGGGCATCTGCCATGCTGCGAGATAGTCGGATGTGCTCCTCCAATCCTGCGGAGCAGGTGACCTTCCAGGAGCTGGCCCAATTGGCCATGGAGCAAGAGAAGATCCGTCAGCAGCGGGGAAGGAGTGCATGGGGTACTAGTGATCATGGTGCTGCCAAGAGAGGGTTTGCATCGCCATTGGAGGTTCCGGAAGATCCTCGCGCTCTCACTCAGGACGAGATCAACGCATTCGTTGTCAAACAGATGCATAAGGACGAAGCATTCCGAAATCGCAGTGGAAGTGTCCGAAGACATGCTAAGCGGCCCAGTCAGGAGGAAATCAATGACTACGTGGTCGAACAGATGCGTCGAGAACGGGAGCAAGCTACGAGGAATCGAAGTCACAGTCAACCGATGCAGGGAGGGCCTGTTCAACGACCGGTGCAAATGCGCTGTACCTTCTGTGGTGATAGAAATCACCAGCTTTCAAACTGCTGGCGGAGATGGAGAGTTGCTGTGGAAGCTCCGAATGGGAACTACTTGCCTAAACGTGTCGAGTACAGGACTGAATTTCCGGGCCAACCACCCATGTATCGCACGGGTTTCACGCTTTTTTAAAAGCCGTATGAGACTTGATAATGATTCATGATCGTGTTTACGATTCTACTCACGTTTATCAGCGACTGGAGTTTAGCCAAGAGCATGGAGTTTGGAGTCTTTCAGCATCATGTACCCCTATGTTGAATATTTAGAGCGATTTCCCCCCTGTGCTTGAGGGACATATATGCAGGATTCCCATACATAGTTTGCCGTCATTACAATTTTGTTCTTAAGCTCTGAATCAATAGAAAAGCTTCTCATATTTCCTTCTCAAGGCAAAGGTGTAGCCCGGTGATAAGCAAGCGTTGGAATTCCCAATTTCAAGCTCTCGAGATCTTGGAAGGTTGGATCTGACTTCAAAGACGAAGAACTGTCCGGCCACTTCTTCTGCAGAAGCATGCTTCGCAGTCTCATCTGGACAGACACACATGCATCTGCCCACGCGCAGACAGCTCCAGCCAGGCCTTCTGTGAGGGAAAATGGGCGATCAGGCAGTCGGTAGATGTTAGACGTTGGCGTGACGGAACTTTGGTATGGTGGTGTTTCCCGCACATGCAACAGCATCGCCAGCGCTCTCGATAGGAAATAGTCACCGGTAAGCCCGGTATCCAACACTGTTTGGTTAGTAGTCTGTGTTCTCCCCATATACTTCTCCCTGGCAACTTGCATCTCTTCCTTATCATACTCAAAGCTGTCGTGCAGAAGCAACAATGGCCATGCACTACCGGTAATGCCATGACAGATCCCGCCACCTTTGGAAAGCAGTCCTTCTTCCCATACCCGTTCGCTTGCCAGGCGAATTGCTACGTCCCACTCTGGCTGCCAGAAGTTATAGATCAAGGGCTTGTTCCGCCTGGCGCTTGCCATAAGGGTCAAGATGCCGGGACTACCATGACAAATCTGGACGAGAGGTGAGGAGCGCTTGGATGAAGGGCCACGATCGGGAAGAGTCGTTGGGAGATGGCCATTATGAGCAATGCATATCTTGCAAAGGCCGGTGATCGTTTCCGCTATCAGGGGCAGGTAGTTACGCGAAGCACCGTCGTTGAGCTCTTCAGGATCGCAGGCAAGGAGGGCCGCGAGTATGCCGGCTAGAAAATCTTATCAGCTGAATATACCGGGAGGTTTTCTACATAGACGTAACATACACATTCCATGTACCCTAGTAGATATGTTAGATTTGCCGTTTTGTTGCTCAGCATTTGTGACCATGGTGGGGGCATTACTTACGTTCCTAGGCCATACCGATCTTCATGCCAGTGCCACATCAACGGCAAAGCATTTCTCTCCCCATACTCCTCTAGATAGTCTTCTCTGCCTTGAAGCCCACCCTTGATAATAGCATCAATCAGGTCTGGAACAGATTCGAAAATGGATGTCAGAAGGCTTGTAGCCCTCTCGTCATACTTGTGAGCTCTCACGCTCAGCACAACCCACAATAGACCCGCTCGGCCATACAAAACTTCGTCCGTACCCATCATCCCATCACCGTGTGGTAGCATGTGGGGATTCCCGATTGCCACTTGTACGACATTTCTGAGACATTCGATATCAGCTTCGGACATGGATGCACCGGATTGCGCAGCTGCAAGAATCCGCATCAAAGGTCCCACAAGCACACTTGGGGAGCCAAAAGGTGCTACTTTTCCGGGCAAAAGCGGAATATCAGGGCCATGTGGCAAGATTTGCTCGCTTGCAAGTCTGCGAAAGTCAAGAGGAAGTCCGACATCTTTGTTGCTGAACGCTTTGACCTGATGGTCCAGTCGGAGGAAAGCAAGAGCAATTCCTGCAAGGGAAGATCCATCAGATTACACTTGCCGATATGTTGTGATGAAGCATATCAATCAACCGCTAACAGTGTGAAAGCTATGCGCATACCTGGAAATCCCACATATATACCCGTGTTGTAGGTTTTGCCCCATTCGCTCTGAGGAGGACAGCCCTCCTGCAATAGAGTTGCACCACGATCCACGGCAACTTGCAACTCTTTGAGAGCGTTTTCCAGGGTTTCTTGATTTATATCTAGCGGGGTCAAGTTGTTCGGATAATACTGGGGTAAATCTGTGGTTGACATACTATCGCGAAGGCAGGAAAACTACACTGGAGAGGAGCTATGTATAGACAAATAAAGCTAAGTTATGGGATATGGAGCTCAGTAAGGGTATTCAAGACACAGTTTGACTGATGATATTCGGACTGATTCAGATGAAGTCTGGGTCACTGGGTCAATAGCTTAAATACGAGGATGTGTAGTAGAGAGGGGAAGAGCCCAAAGATGTGGGTGACGCTTCTGCATCACCTGACCTGCATGATCTACATTCTTCGAAAAGCAACTCCAGTAATGTTTTCATCTACTGTAGTATGGCTTCTTCGGTTCAGATCATCCACCATGCCAGTTGTCTTTGAAGCTGTGCAGATTTGTCTTTGAGATCCTGGCAACCGAGAGCCCCGGATGCGCCACAAGCGTCTGTTCTTTTGTCTCGCTTCTTGACGGCCTATCACTTTCTTAGCTATACTATCAACAAACCTAGGCAAGTGCATAAGCTGTTCTCCTGGGAAATTCAATGCTGAATATAGTATCCGTCAGGGATTATTTTTTCTTTGGCTATAATGGGATGTATGTCCTCCCTGTTTCACCCCGTTCTTGGGTGCACTGGCACTGTCTTGTGGACCTGTCAAGAACGCATGAGCTGGCCGTGTAACACTCACAAACTCTACGTCGCGGTAGATCTTCTTACGATCTACAGGCTATAAATTTTATTGTAACCACTGGGAGGAGTCGGGAACTGTCATTGATATCTCTCGTCTTCGTTGAGGACTTCATGGGCTCTCCTAACCCGAAGTTCCCTGCCCGACATTGGCCTCAGAAGGGCATACAGATGATCACCTACATTGGGATCTGTTTCCGACTTTGGGCCGCCCTCCCTTTACATCCATCAATAAAATAACGCATGCTTTGCTCTTTGGGGACTCTCTGATTTGTCACTCTGGGTATGGGTCGGTGACGTTTGTACGGAAAGCACCTCTTTTGAGGGGACCCTCTATGCAGTTCACCAATTAGTTGATATTCCGGATATTATCAGACATTGGGTGTTCAGGTTGTCCGCTGACCGAACCATATTCAAGCACTCTAGTCGATAGATAAGCTCAGAAAAGGTCTCTCGGACAAATGCGAGTTGCCGAGCTGAAAGCCTGATGAGAAAAGAAGGCATTGCTTGACTCGGGTTAAAGGAGACTAGAAGAGCACAACAAATCAGGAGACAATCAGCATTACTAGGATGTATTGGTATGGATCACGGACCCCGAGCTAGAAATCATAGCCATGGCCACGGATGTGGACGATACTCACGCAGTGATTCTCCAGTGGCATTACTCCCCACAACATGTTGGAAACTTCTAATGGCGAATCGGAATCCAACAGATACATTTAAGTCAATTCCGACTTGGACAGTTTACATTTTCATAGATATGATCAGTATCAAGGCATCTGCAACTCGGGGCCTAGAACGGAGATGTCTCCCTATGTCGCGCAGATGAGCGTTTTACGTCGCATCCATTATCTCGATCTACTAAACTACAAGCATATGGACCTAGTTTTACTGACAAAAACAACCAGTATTCTGGGCTAAAATGCTCAAATGTTTGTGACTCCCCCTTCAAGTCCTGTCTCTAGATACTCCACTCTCCCCCCAAACCTGTGCCATATCCACTCCCTCCCCTGTT